GTAGAACTTCTTAACTTGTTTGGTTTTATGCTAATTTTGCTGCTTTTTTTTTTCTTTTTTCTTTTTTTTTTTTTTTTCAGATGATCTAAATGGTTGACTTAAATCCCTTAAGTTTCATTACGTTTTTCCCCCCTTTTTTCTTTTTTTTTTTGAGAAGCTTTCACATATTCAACATTGCATAAAATACCCATTTGTAATTATGTTTAACCTTTGTAAAGCCTCTGGGTAAAGTCTATTCATTAATCTTTAACCTGACAAGCCTTGGGGGGGGTGTGGAATTGGCACAGCCATGTATTAAAGGCTGAGAGACCACAGACTAGAGGTACAAAAGGGGTAATTAAGAGGTAGTATGAAAGGAAATGGAACAAAGCTAAAGGGATAGGATCATATTATGGTACATGTCAGCCAGTAGTAAGGACAATGGAATGCAAATTCCTATAGACACAAATCAAAAAATAAATGAGGCAGTGCATTTTTCAAAACAAAACCAATTTAATGATCTCCTTTCTTAGTCAAGCACAGATAACCTTCCCTAAATTAGATCTCAAACATTGCATAATCATACAGCACAGGCATATGATTAGTTTTTAATAGTGTGCCCCTATTTATCTTTTGTTTGCTTGTTCTTAAGAAACATGCTGGCTTGCAGTAACCATAAAAGGCACGAATTAGTATGTCTCAATATGTCTCAGAAGAAAAAAACCTCACCTGGACAAATGTCATCCTGTAATTAAGGGACAAATTCTGCCCCTGGCCACCAGGCTGTGAGGAACACCTGGCTGCTGGGCAGCTGCTCTGTGCTGATCCCAGCTCTCTACGGTCTCACAGCACAGATGATCATCAAGGTGGCTTGGAGGGTCTGAGATGTGTGACATCTATGGGAATGGAATCAGGGCCAGGATTCAAAATACTGTTTCTAATGAGGCTTTACGACTTTTCTAACATCTCGATATGGAGAGTACTTTGAAACCCTGGAGACTACTCTCCTTGCTGTCCTAAAGGACAAGGTCCTGTCATCTGACAGAACACCAAGACAGGTGTCTAATTTTAAGTTCATGAACCACAGTTAGACTCTTCATTTGATTAGATACTTACATTAGCACCTTTATCAGTCTGATCTCTTCTGACTAATCTCTAAATTGGTGACATTAAGTGGTGATTTTCCCCTAGTCTTCAGCAAAAATCCTCATCATTCATTTGTGATATTTAGACTTGGCTCCAGGGCCAGGGTTTCCTTTTCAGAAAATTTCATTTTATGCTTCTGTAAGCCTCCAGTGTATTGCTCAATAAAACAAGACTGTCATGCATTCATAAGCTGATAACATTATAACCAGTAAGTCCCACACTGGGGCAGGATGGAGTAGGACACAAAACCCAGCATTAACAACTTTTGGATTTTTATATCCACTTTCACAGCAAGTGATGACTACTTTCCAGGCAGGTAAAGCTGCTTTTATCAAGAGGTTACATGATGAAACCTTAGTTTTCATCAGAAATAAATTTTTAAAAGTGCTATCTCTAGTTTTGTCTGGAACTTCCATGCCAGCAATCTTTGGCCTTTCTGTTCTCATAGAAGTGCAGCAGCTGTTCAGAAGATGAAGCATGGTCTTCTGTACCTCTGCCCCTGTGCATGGAAGGAAAAGTCCCTATGATCTCCAGTGTACTGGAGTTGCAGTTTTGACAGTCCTTGCTTGAGGAAGGTCCACACTTACATTCAGTGAGGTATAGACCTGTTAGAAATCAATCCTATATCTGAATATATCTGTGACTTATGAACATTTCAAAGCGAATGTATTAGAGGAATTTTATTTTAAAACCCCAAGGAAGAAAAAATATTTTTACTCTTAAAGGGAGTATGTCCATGCTGTACATCTCAATGTGTTTATTTAGCTTATCACGTGGCTATGGGAAAGTAGAAAGTTTAGGTGATGGGGGAAAGAAGGAAATAGTGGTAATGGTGAAAAGAATGCATCTTAATTTGTCTTTCTCAAGGGCAAATACTAGATTTGCAAATATAATTAAAACTCCTTTTAAAAAATGCAACAGAAACATGAATAAGGTGGCAAAAGGAGACTTCATCAGTTTTGGAAGGTGTGGCACGACATACAGTGTGAAAGTAGTCAACATTGCACATAGAGTGCACAGAAAATTTAATAAATCAGACAGTCCAGTCTGAAAGTGGTGGCAAAAAATATAGGCTTAATGTTTTGGATTAATTTCTTTCTGCTTTACTGCTTGCACAAAACATGGCTAACTATAGTAAGTGGACAGAGGCATAAATACTACCTTTTCTGTTGATGGTCAAAATCATTTCTCTGTTCCTTAAATTAAGGTATAGGCTTTTTTAAGACCAGATCTTAATATTTTAAAGATCCAGATCTGAAATACATATTAGTGAGGCACTCTTATTAATGTGATAAGGTAGAATTACAGGAAAAAAGTGAGGAGAATCTGTACAGTCATTATTTTAAATTTCATTATGGGTGTAAACCTTATATATTGAGAAGTATGTAATTCTCTTGGTTTCTATGAAGTCCCAAGTTTGTTGAGTTTAGCTATATTTAAAGAGTTAAACCAGAATGAAACCCATTTAACAATGTAGAAAATCATGCCCTGGCTTTTGAAAGATCAGTGTAAATAGGAATAACCCTTCTTCTCATTTCTTCCCTTAACCCAGCACTTTTCATTCCTTAATGAGATAGAGAACATGTGTAGGTCCTACTTGTAGGATTTGCTTATCTTTCTCAGTCCTTCAGGGCTCCCAAGAGTAACTAAATCAAATCTAATCAAACAAATTCTTACTAAATTGAACAAATAACTAGGAGATACTAAAGCCAGCATAATGGATGCAACCAATACATGAACTCAGAATATAACTGTAAGACAATTATGAGAAAGAAAAATAGGTCAGAAAAATAAGGCAGAAAATGCTGGGTTTTTTAATGCTGTATTTATTAGCTGTCTGGGTCAGCTACTTTTTCTCTTTCTAATCATCTGTGTAAATAAGACTAGCAATGTCATATTCTTTCATTCCTGCACTATGCTGACAATTTTCATTGCTTAATGAGATCGAATGTTTCTAGGTTCTACATATGTACACTCATTCTCTTCAACCCTTCGGGGCATCTTCGTTCTCATGATGAAAAAAATCCTCAAAGAGTAATAAACAGTTTGTAGTGAATTCAGCAAATAAGTAAGATATGCATGCAGTGCTTTAAATTTTCAGTTATAACAAAATTACACTCAAAACCCACAGCATAAACCTCTGCTTGAGTTGCAGTATGGCATGAATCAGTGCACTGGTCATTTCCCCTGGAGTCTACAGTATTGGCTACTGTTGTATACAGAATACTGGATTTAATAGTGATTAACCCAGTGATAAATACTGTATTACCTTAAGCATGCATAGTCTTTTTAGACAATCCCATTGTTTATATTGATAAATGCTTATAGTGATGACTTTTAAAATGGATAATATGATGCAAAATATATCAATACTCTGTCCCCTCTGGCCTTTTCCCTCATTCATGCAAAGCAGTTTACACATAACTTCCTTATATTGATTATTTTGTCTTCCTTAAAGTAAAAGACTAAAACAAGAATCTTTTCAAGAGCCTAGGATAACATTCCCAAAATAAGCTTAATTTCAAGCCAACACTTTATTTGTTTGGAGTGGAAGAGAAACAGAAGGGGAAAAATTAAGACCCCAAAGCAGACAAAAATAACACAGAATCCAGTCAAAAATCCAGGAGCAGTGAGATGGGATCATTCAGCGTTGAACATTCCTTTCTGGATAGGCATAATCCTTAGGAGAAAGGAGGCCTGAACAAATGCACAAAGAAATCACTGTCTGTAAGACATGAATATCATCATCATGGGAATGCTGATACTGGGATTGGAGGGAGAAGCAAATGCTGTCTATGTTGGCCTTAATCTAGCAGAGTAAACAAAATCTCTTATGAATCACATAAAACATGAATAATAGATTCACCTTTTCACTTCTAAATATTAATTCCTCGAAAGTCTCTGTAACATTGTTAAATGCATTTAGGTCATTTTTGGCAGGAACAAATACTTCCTACCTTTGTGTTATCCGTTGTAACCTGCATATTATTACATTTTTAGGTTTCTTAAACACTATCATCAAAAGCTGACTGGGTAATTTGAACCTATCTAGAACATGAACGTCTTTGTGCTGTCCTTAGTCTACCTTTGTGATTTTCCTTTTCAATAATTTTTATTCATGTGGATCAGTTAAATACATGAAAAAGGAATGATTTGTCTCTGATGATCCTGATTAAGTTAATGCATATTTCATTATCACATTTTATATGTATGTTTTAAAGTCGTTTTACCCACTCACATGCTTAATGACTGTGACTCCTAGATCTTGACCTAACTCCTTACTCTGGATTTGCCTCCCTCTGCTCAGTTTAACAAGGTGATGTGGAGTTCTGACATCTCCTTATTAAGTTGCTGCCAATTTCAGCTTTACATGGCCATGTGTGATCTACTGTCCTGCCCTATCACTGCTTTCACCCCTCCTGTTTTTCTTCTGTCACTGTCAACCACATCATCACACTCCTGATCACTCAGCTCCATAAATAACCCATTCATTCCCTTTAACCATTCCTTCTCTGTGGATTTGTACAGGTGCACTACTTGCATGTCCTCTGTCTTCATTCATAGCATTTTCAGAATATGGATTCAATTATTTCTACCTTTAGGAATTTAAGAGTTGGACATCTAAGCCTGATCTAGTCACTCTTTTTATAATTACTGAGAAAAAAAATGCACATGCAGAAATTGATTCTCATCATCTGTCTTAAACATCTAATTTAGGTCGAGATGAATTAACCCCAGGTAGTATCTATTAGTCTCCATATACTTACAGGGAGTGTTAAGTGATCTTTTCAGACATGGAAATCTCAAATGTCTAGATTTAGAGCATATGCCTCCTAATACTGTTGAATTTTTTGCTCAGTAAATTGCTGTCCAACTTTATTTACTACTATGCTAAGTCAGAGATTGCTTTGCTACAAGTAATGGTAAATATGTGTGCTGGATTAGCAAAAGTGTTACTGTCCCACCTCAGCTCAACAGCACCCTTTCTGTAACTATGGGATGATCTTTCTCTTTGTTAGATCTCTTGCTACAATGCACCCTCTGATTTTGGCTCCTTGATTGTAACTGAGTCGCAATTATGTGTTGCTATGGCTGTGGGTGGCAACATGATTTCAGGTAGGTGGAAGCCATAGCCAGTCAATAATATCTTTCATCTTCTGGCTTACTCTGGACCTTTGACATCTGAGCAGCTATGCTTTGTCAGATCAGACTCTGCATGGCTGCCATCAGGCAAATGTTTTGCTGTTTACCACTGATAAATTAGAGCAAGTTATAATGCCCATTAATATTAACATAACCTAATAAAATTGTAAACATTTCCGGACAGAGGTGTGGCCAGGGATGTGGACTGAAAACTGACTAAACTACCCGGTTCAAAGGTCACTGACATGAAGTCCAGCTGGCAGGTATTGTGTCCCAACATCAAACACTGATTCTGATACTGTTTAACATCTTCATTAATGACATGGATGATGGGACCAAGTACACTGCCAGGAAGTCTGGAGAGGGCACAAAGCTGTGAGGAATGGATAGTAGCCAATACGGTTGTGCTGCTATTCAGAGGGACCTTCACAGCCTGGAGAAATGGGCAGATGAGAACATTATGGAGTTCAACAAAGGGAAAGTCCTGCATCTGGGGAGGAAAAACTCCATGCACCAATATATATGCTGTGGGCCCACAGACTGGAGAGCAGCTTTGCAGAAAAGGGCCTGGGTATCCCACGAGCCAACAATGTGCCCTTGCAGCGAAGGAGGCCAACAGCCAGGCAGCCAACAGCCAGAACACCAACAGCTGCATTAGGAGTGTTGCCAGCAAATCAAGGGTGATGAGTCTTCCCCTCTACTCAGCCCTGGTGAGACACATCTGAAATGCTGAGTCCATTCTGAGTCTCCCCAGTACAAAAGAGATAAGGATATACTGTGGACAGTCAAGGGAAGGGCTACTGAGGTCATTAAGAGAATCTGCAATATGAGGAGAGGCTGAGAGAGTTGGAACTGAGCAGCCTGGAGATGAGAAGGCTCAGGGGCATCTTATCCATGTGTATAAATACCTGATGGAGGGAATGAAGGCAGAATCAGACTTCTTAGTGGTACACAGTGACCTGACAAGAGGCAGTGAGCAGAAATCAAAACACATGAAATTCCTTCTGAACACAAGAAAACATTTTACTCACTGTGACAGTGTTCAAGCACTGGTATGTGTTGCCCAGAGAGGTTGTATAGTCTCCATCTATGGGGATGTTCAAAACCTCATTAGATGTGGTCCTGGGCAACCTGCTCTAGCTGATCCTTCTTTCAGTGTGGTGGATGTTGGACTAGATCATCTGCAGAGGTCCCTGACAACCTCAACCACCTTGTCATTTTGCAAAATAACAATAGGATTTATTAACATTCAGTGTAATAATCCTAATATCTCAGTTGCCCATGGGGTAACAGGCCATAAAGTTCTCATATGCCAGTGCTATATGGACATTTGATTTTTGTTGCAATTCAGATAATTACAAGGTGCCTGAAGTGGTGGTGTTAGAGCAAGTGCCACAGATAACAACAGGATGGTTTATGCAATACTACTTAGAATACTTTCACTATTTTAATTCTTTGATATAGAAGATATTAACAGTGTTATTGATTCACATACTATTTTGAATTGAGGCTCATGTCTGCTGTCACAAGAGAAATGGGCATATGGGATTTATAGTTCATAATAATGGTGTGGAAATATGTCTATTTCTTTAAGGTGGTCATGTCTTATTCAGAACATGTTACTGTGAGGAGGCATAGGTGATAGTCTGGACAAAACTTAGTCTACGTTTTTTCTAGTATAGCAGAATTGAACTTTTTACTGAGTTTGCCTGTTTATAAGATTGGAACATAAAAGTTGACAACGCAGTATAAGCAAATGCATGACTGGTATTGTTAAGAAACACCGGCCTCAGCTGTGGCACAGGAGTTTTTTACTGGCACGCTGCTGGGTGTCATTAGGGGATCCTTAGGGATTTTTTTTTTTTTTACTGGCACACTGCAGGGTGTCATTAAGGGATCCTTAGGGATCATACCTAAGGATTGGGTTTTGATCATACTCTTGAATTTATTATTCCCCCCTCACCGGCCTTTTATTTGTAATATAGATATAGCTAGAGTAATGAAGCAAGGGTTGTTCTTTCTGGACTAATCCACGGAGGCTGTTGCAAAATCATTCAAACCCCTCATGACAGCCTTGATGTTTATGATTAATCATGACCAAAGAAAATATTATATATGCTTAAGTACAAGGTCACTTTGAAATCAGATCTATACATACTGATAGTCTGTGACTTAATGCTCCTGGCCTTATGACCCTCACCTTTCCCCTCTTTGCTTTCTGACTACTTACATTGTTTCACAAATTAGATCCTGACTCCTTGACTGACTCTTCTCTGTCCTTGGACAATGTCAGTGTTTGGTGCTACTGAGTACTGTTATCTTACAAAGAAATAGAAATGAGAATATCAGATGTGTACGGTCTATGACATGCAACTGGAGTTTAGATTCTGTCTGGGAGAGGGTTCATGAGCTTTCTCTTTTTTAATGCTCTTTTGGCCTGGTCTGTGAATCTTTATTCATGTCTGAAGTGGCCTTACCTGTGCAAGAACAGAGTTGTAGCACACAAAGTTACAAGTCAAGTGATTTAAGAAGATCTGTTGCTAATCAATAGTTTTATGTTATTTAAATGTGAAGTGCAATTAAAGTAAAGATTTACCTTTGAGTCTTCTGTTCTCATTTTTTCCAATGGTGGGTGGTGAGACCTAACAAGATTTCTCCTTCTCATCCATCAAATTGACCTCTTTGCTAATTAACGCGAGTGTGAGAATCTACAGAACTTGTAGCTAATGAGGATGTTTCTTTTATTGGTGTATGTGAAAGCATTCACAGCATTAAAGCATCATTCCAGATGAACTTAGGTGAATCTTTGCCAGAAAAATTCCTCCTAAACGAATAGTTTAGAACAGTATCATAAAATTATATCCCCACTTCTACAATCATCTGCAGCCTCATACCTCACTGCATTTAAAAAACTTCATGTTGCTGTACTCTTGGACTTGACTGAGGACAGTACATATGCCAGATTCATCCTATGTAATTCAGGTACATAACTAAGAAAACTAAGTCAGGAAAATGGTGTCTTATGCTCTGTCTGTGAACAACAGACAGAGGCGGACACTTCTAGAAGTGAGGTGGACACTTCTAGAGTGAATCCAGACTTTAGGTGTACAAAATCACCCTCTGGCATGGCTTGTTCTCTTTATATAATAGAAATCAAGGTTAGGGTGAAAATGAAGGGCCTGCTTCAACTTTACATGGACACCACAAGAGTTGTGTACTTAATAGGCCAGTGGAGCTTATCCTCAGCTCCTTTTAACATCCCAGCTGCTGTGTAGTTACAGATGTTGGGAACAGCTCTCCATTGTTCATCAGCTAACAATGTTGACTTGCAAGGGGGAGCATTCCATGACGTCCTAATGGAGATAATGCATCCTAAAGTGACAGTGACTAGCCATGAATGAACTGCTCCCACATCTCTTTATATCTTCTTGTGATATTTGACAGCTCCTAGTGCAAAACAGCTTAATCTCATACAGTTGATTTATATCACAAGAAAATACAAAATCACAAAATTACAGAATCATTTTGGTTGGAAAAGACCTTGAAGATCATCCAGTCCAACAATTAACCTAACATTGACAGTTTCCCAACTACACCATATCCCTCAGCGCTATGTCAAGATGACTCTTAAACACCTCCAGGGATGGGGACTCCACCACCTCCCTGGGCAGCCCATTCCAACACCTGACAACCCGTTCTGTAAAGAAATGCTTCCTAATATCCAGTCTAAACCTTCCCTGGCACAACTCGAGGCCCTTCCCACTTGTTACAGGGAGCTGTAGAGAGCAATGAGGTCTCCCCTCAGCCTCCTCTTCTCCAGACTAAACACCCCCAGTTCCCTCAGCCGCTCCCCGTACGACCTGTGCTCCAGACCCTGCACCAGCTTCGTTGCCCTTCTCTGGACACGCTCGAGTCATTCAATGTCCTTTTTGTAGTGAGGGGCCCAAAACTGAACACAGGAATCGAGGGGCGGCCTCACCAGTGCTGAGGACAGGGGTCAGATCCCTTCCCTGTCCCTGCTGGCCACGCTATTGCTGACACAAGCCAGGATGCCATTGGCCTCCTTGGCCACCTGGGCACGCTGCTGGCTCCTGTTCAGCCGGCTGTCAATCAACCCCCCCAGGTCCCTCTAACTGGCAGCTCTCCAGCCACTCCTCCCCAAGCCTGTAGCGCTGCTGGGGGTTGTTGTGGCTCAAGGGCAGCCCCCGGCATTTGGCCTTATGGAAACTCCTCCAGTTGGCCTCAGCCCATGGCTCCAGCCTGTCCAGGTCTCTCTGCAGAGCCTCCCTACCCTCGAGCAGATCAACACTCCCACCCAACTTGGGGTCATCTGCAAACTGACTGAGGGTGCACTCGATCCCCTTGTCTAGATCATCAGTAAAGATGTTAAACAGGAGTGGCCCCAACACTGAGCCCTGGGGGACACCACTCGTGACTGGCCGCCAACTGGATTTAACTCTGTTCACCACAACTCTTTGGGCCCGGCCATCCAGACAGTCCTCTGTTCACAAAGAGGAGATCCAGCAGGGCACCTTCTCTGGTCGATTCACTCACCAGCTGTGTCAGGAAGTTATCTCCCACACATTCCAGGAATCTCTGGGACTGGTCCCACTCTGCTGTGTTGTATTTCCAGCAGATGTCTGGGAAGTTAAATGTCACAAGAACAAGGGCAATCAATGGTGTGGTTTCTCCTAAGTGCCTATGGAATATTTCATCCAACTCTCTGTCCTGGGTGGGTGGCCTATAGTAGACTCCTACAACATCCGCCCTTTTGGCCTTCCTCCTGATTCTAAACCAAAGACACTCCACCCTGTCTTCACTATAATTGTACTCAAAGCAATCATAACAG